CCTGTCAGAGGATGAGCGCAAAACTCAGCGCAAAGCACTGGCTACCTAAGATGCTGTTTACAGGGTAGCTGTAATGACTCATAAAATCATTTATGAATATTTCAAGCATGAAAATTTGCATTGCATTTCTGCATTCTGTAAATGTTCCGGGGTTTCTGAGTGAATTATTTTTCAACCTTAATTATAGCATCATTTATTTCTTTTCAGCGGGTACAAGCATCCTCCAAATTAACGGTACATTCCTATTAATGTTCCGTTTCGGATGTGGCAAAATGGTACATTCATCCCCAAATACAACTAGGCCAATGAACTAAAAAATAGGTGATTAACAGAAGCCCAATTCCTGGAATAAATCAAAGATTTGATGTAGAGGTTCTTGTCTCCCCAGTGACTGTCTTAATCCCTGGTTTATACGCTTATCTGCAGCGAATTTCTTTCTGCCAAACGCTTTCATTTTTGCACAAAAGCAAAACAAAAGGCAATTAAGTCCCCGTGGAACAAACCCAAATGTTTCACAAAATGAAATTCTTGTTTTCTGGCTGGCCTTAAGGTCATTTACTTTGGGAGGAGGCTGTTGTACTTCGGTCTGCAGCATAACTGCACCCGAGGGCATCAGTGCCGCAGCACCTCTGAGAAGGATACCTGGGGGTCTGTGATTATCCCCATACCAAAAACCTGGGTGGTCTCAGACTATCTCTCTCCCCAAAAATCCCTCTGTTCTAAGCCACTGACAAAAACATGGTGAAAAAGGATAATTGTGACTGGACTGCTTTGCTGGCTCAGGTAGCAACTGAGCTCCTTCATCAGAACTGGTGCTTTCATCTTGTGGGTGACCAAACCCAGCAATTCTGCCTTGCCATTTTTTACCTGACTAGATGGTTTCTTTCCATCAGGAGCAGTAAATATATATTTTCCTTCATTTTTTCTCCTTACCCACCCGCCCTCTGTGACAGCAGCTGCCCATCGTGCAGGACAGCCCATGGATGATGCAAACCCATGATGCAAACCTGGGACATTGCAGGGGTACATCCCCTACCCCATCATGCTGCTGCCTGGAGGAGGCAGATTCTGCCCAAGCCACTGATCACCTCTCTTCTTTGCCTGAATTAGTATTTTACACCACAGCAACTGTTTATGCTGCAATTGGAGCTTTTCTCCTAATTACTAAGAAACAGCAGCAAGAAGCCTGTGAGAAAGTACTGCTAGCTGAAGTATGTGAAAACAGGATGAGCACTTGGGTTTTATTTCATATATCCACCCAGCTACCAATCATTTTGGGGCTTCTCCAAGCACCCGCTTGCATTTATAGGCATCAGTGGACTTCTAGCCCTCATGGACCTTGGCCTGTGGACTTACTTGATAACATATCACAGTGTTTATGCAAATGGCCCTGCCCTTACACTTATCTCCTATTTTCTTCTGCTTTCAGTGCTGTTCTCAGACTTTGTTTGTTTGTGGTTTTTTTTTTCAGTTCCCTCGATGATACAACAGGGACAACTCTTTTTGCCTGGAGCTGGACAACTGTCACTTGTAAGTGAGGGACTGCTCTCAGATCAGTTAGAGTCAACAGGAGTATTTTACACATATATCCTGAAGACAGAAGCTGGAGAAATGCCACCTGTAGGAGTTATAAGCTATGCAGGTGTCTTTGAGTTTTAATCATAGCAACATTTGGAACCCCACAAACCTTTTCTGACACCTCTGCAACAATGTTGGAGGCAAAAGGAAGATTGTCCCCACCGAACAGAAACACAGATGAAGGAGGTGGCCGCAAGCTGTGCAGGGGTGAGGCTGGAAGTCCCCTGGGTTTGCCTTAGCCCTTACTTACTACATTACCCTTTCTATGGTTTGTGCTATGGTTTTCACTTCTGGGGAATTCTGAGTTTTGGCTCATTGTTAGAAATTTTTTTGGGAGGTTGGCTTTTGTTTGGGGGTAAGGATTGTTTGGGGGTTTTTTCTTAACCCATCACAGCTGGGAGGGGACAGTGACGGCTGTTCTCATGCTCCTTTTTATAAAACACATCCCTAACTTGCCCCCACTTTCTCTTTACTATGCGGGTCACAGCCATGGGCTCTGGCCCACAGCTCTCAGTCTGCTTTGTGCACTTTCTAGGAAAATTTAGGCAGGAGAGATATAAACTCTGAGCCCAGCTGGATCAGGGTTTACTGTGAAAGCTGCTACCCCTACATCTAGTCAGAAGCGAAGAGACCGACAAGAACTGCCCTTATGCTATGTTCTGGAGGGTGGTACGTGTCTTGGGGAAAATGTTTTACTGTGGTGGAGGAAATGCCAGGTTTTCTGTGTGTGATGGGATCAGTCTGACTGACACTTCATGATCTGCTTAAAATTGTTAATTGACAGGGAGGGTTGGACTTGTAGGCACCCCCAAAATAGGAGTGTCCTTTGTGGAGCTCATGACTGGGTGCTGATGCAGCTCTAGTCTGGATGAGACATTGTGTGTAAAAGAAAGTGGCTGGAACAGGACGTCAGATCAGGGGGTGTTGTTTGCAGGCTCAAATAGTGGGGAATAAATAAATAATCCCCAGCTGCTCTGATGATTTTTGCATGTTTCCACATGTTTATTCACCTGTGGCTGTGCAGATGTTTGCCTCTGGAAAGCCAGAGCTGGAGCATTTTTACGTTTACATGCTTGGAGGTTGGAGGCTGAAGTTTTAACCTCATGTTACTAGGAAGTGTCCCATGGCCAGGGGTACAACCACAGGCCAGGTCTCCCTTTTCTGGGTTCTGAACAGCATGGTTAGTAAAATCCATTTAATATAACATGATGGTGTATTTTTTTCAACTATCTATCTTTGACATAACTGCTACGCTTTAATGAGTTTCAGTTTGCGTTGCATTTTCATGTCCCGTACCCATCCTTGCGTATCCTAACCTGAAAGATGTTCCCTGTCACTCTTCCCTACTTGTCCTGCTCTACCCTGAATCTAGATGTGGCTGCACCAGGGAAACAAGCACCCATAGCATGACAAGGAAGTGAACTCCTATCACTGAAATCAGGACCAGATTATGAAGTTCTTTTCTTACTTGTCCTTTTGTCACCATTAACTTCACCCTGGGTTAGAGCAGAGAAAAAATCAAACCCAAGTAAAACACTGGATATGATCCACAGAACAGTCTAATCTCAGAGTTGGGATTGCAAAGAGGATTCCTGCTCAGTAAAAGCATAAATGCACGTATATATAAACTCAGAGGCTTTTGTCTGTGGGAAGATGAGAGGTGAATAAGGATCAAAATAACAAGATGGCAATGTAGCTTCTAATAAAACCCTGATACCTTTAGAGTACCTGGTTGCAGGTTTATTTAATCAGGAAAATAGCTAGGAGTTTAAATAACTTGCAATATAAAGCCTCCACAAAGGAGAGAGTGGGCAGACTGAGTTGGATGTGTCGGTATCTTGCAGGAGGATATGATGCTTGAAAGAAGCAGTGACACATGGAAACTGCCTACAATGGCACCGCCTGGATTGAGGCGAGAGATAGAAATGGTATTAAAAAAAAAAAAAAAATATTACAAGCAACAGTTGTAGGCCTGCAGGGCAGAAAGGGAAGGGAGAGCAGGAAGCATTGCAATAGATAAGGAGGGCGAGTGAAAAGGCGATCACGCCACGCCAGGAAAGGCAATTACTTGTGCTGTCACAGAGGTGGGAGCTCAGAGGATGCAATCGGCGACCATGGGTGGCTGCGGGCCCCATTAAGCTGCCTCCTTCCAGGTACACCCTGCTCCAAGATGATGGTCAGGCTACCTGCAGACGTCCCTCACAGCCCTCTTCTCCCACACATAACCTGAAAAATTCCTTTTCGGACAAAACTCTTCATGTCTGGCTTCATCATAAATAAATACACCTTCAGTTTAATGCTTGAGGAAACAACAGACATTTCTTTTGGAATGACTTTTCACAGAGGGGGGAAAATCCACAGTACTTTTACTTCTAGGGAAGTTTTAAAATGGAATTTTCAGTATCCCTTTCTAAAACATGAATGTACTACTCTGCAGGGAGGAGCCTTCCTGTCAAGGCTCCTGTTGGCTCCAAATTAAATTGTAATTAAAAAAAAAAATCAAATGACAGCACTATCCATGAAAAGCTCTTGTACATTTTCACTTGAACAGCATTATATAATACTATAATATGTCACGGGCTTCTGCACGATCCATGTACCTAGGACTGATTAGTGCTAGAAAGGAAGCAGTGGTTTTGTACTGATATTTCATGGTGAAATTCCACATTTGTAACTCTTGTTGGCAGTAGGTGGCTCAGCTTTGAAACTAATGTACTAGTTCAAACTGTAGTACAAAATGTAGCATAAATTAAAGCATGGCTATGCTCAAAGTCAAGCTGCAGCATGGCAATACGAGGCCCTGGCAGGTCACAGTCTCGCTTTCCACCCTGAATAGCAGCATCAAAGGGTCTGATTGCATGTGACAATAGTTGGTCATAACATCTGGCGTTTTAGAAAAAAAAAAAAGAGATCATTATTGACCTCAGTTTGGCAAATTTTCTACCTGTTTCTGTGGTCCTAGACTCAATTTGGTTTGTGGTTTGGAGTTACACAGCACCACTTATTCCACTGGGGTGGCCTCGCTGGAAATTGAGGGCTGGAGAGGCCAGTAGCCGTGTCCATCCCCTACTGCTTGCAGCAGTATTTGATCTTTATTTTCTTTATTCTTCCACCTTTGACCCATTGTTAGGCCTGGGAGAAATAGCAACAACGTGGCTGAGCTTCTCCTCCCATCTGTGCCCAAAGCCGAGGGGAGGTCTGGGGCCATGCCGTTCCCCTGAGAAAATCCGGTGTCACTGAGCTGGCTTCCCACGCAGGCACCCCGGATGCTCGCTGGCCCTGCAATATGAAGTGTATTTTCATCCGTAACCTGTGAGAACATCACATCATCGTAATGAAGTTGTCAGAAGGGCCAAAGACTTTGGGGTTGGAACTAAAAAAGGTAAAGGTAAGTGCCTGGTATGGAGGGGCTGGGCTTGCTGGGTGAGAAGCCCCATGTTCAGGACACACTTCTCTGTCCTAGGAAGCAGAAACTCTTAAAAAAGAAATATGGACTGTGTTAGAGGCTTAGTATATATAGGTTGCCACAGTAATTTAAAGCCCGAAGTGGGGCATAGGCTCTGGGGTGGGAATGCCACCCTGGTGATGGAACTGACAGCTACCATCCGGACCAGGAGCCCACAAAGACAATAAAACAGATTTTGTCAAAATGATACTCTTTACCAAGACGGGGTAATTTAAATGCTGGGGTTTGGCAAGAATGATGGCTTACAAACATCTGAAGTGTTCCTAATACATGATTTTGCAGTCATCTTAATGCAAAGATTTTGACTATGAGAGCCGTATGCGGCTACTGCCATCAGAGGAGAGTGAGTGTGTCTAAGCCGTTTCCAAAGCTTATCGTAAGTTCCCACAGGAAGAGATATGAATGGCACGAAAATATTACACTTCAAGCAGAGAGATTTAGGAGGCATGTGAACCACACCGAAGAGCTGCAAGTGGAATATTCAGTTGTCAAAATAATGCTGCGACGGCAGCCGCTGCGCTCCCTGCATTAACATGTCAGAGCCGGAGTGACAGCAGACGCTAGTGCTGTGTGCTCGGGGGGGCGATGGCTTCCCAGACATGGGCTAGAAGAAAGCCTTTCTAATTTCGGTTGATTGCTTTTCAAATGCAGCTCGTTCAGATCCTCTTCGTCGCACGAGCTCATTAGGGAACAGCTAGAGGAGGAGGTAAGGGGAAATTAATAACACAGAAGGTGCCGATCACAAGTGGATATTGTGTAGGTATTGGAAAGACAGTGATCCTCAGAGCCAGGAACATTTATTTTAAAATAAGCAACAGGCTATTTCTGTTACAAGTGAAAATTATTTGAAACATGAGCAGGGATTAAGAGCTGCATGAATTCTGTAACGCTTCATGCCGTTATCATGAAGGTGCAGCCTAATAAAGTGGGTCTGAATCTCCACTGAGTACCAGAGGCAGTCTCATGTGACAGTCTCTGAAAAAAAATGTCCAAGAGGGTATTTTTTATTTATAGGTAGTTGGGTATTTCTGTCAGTTCTGTCCTCGTATCACTGCATCTTGAAAAGAGAAAATAATTATTCCCATATATGGGTAAAATGCCCTAAAAATTGCTTTTTTATAATGAATGACTGTTGCTTGCTAAAATCCATACCTGTGCTGCTAAATCAGCAGCAGAAGTGGCAAGGAGGAAAATCCAGCTCCTCTTTTCTGGCACAACTCTGCTTTCAGGTGACATCAATAACTCCAGCCAGGTCTTTGCCGAGTCCTTCACGCTTCTCCAGCACAGAAACTAGTTTCTTGGCAGAGATTGAAGTCCCAAGGAAAAAAGTGAGCTTCATACTGCTCAGGGGCAGTGAGAGCCTGGGCCTCTCATACCTGGTCCATCTCTGCATCATGGCTTTGCAGGACGAGAGGTGTACACTCGGGGTGTTTTCTAGCAGTATCACCTTCCATATATAACTCTCTGGTAAGGAGTACCAGTTGGTGAAGGAGTTCACCATCTTTTATGACCTCCAACTCGGACACAATAATGAAATCCCTTACCAACATTATTGGAACTTTAATTTTTTATGAAAGCACTTTAATTAAGAATTTCAGTTTCAAATTACCAGTTGAAGTACTTTAAATTTTTATATTTTTTTTTTTCTCAGTCTTGGAATAGAGCGCTGATTTGTTTCGTTAATTACAAACCAGCAGTTTGGAGCAGTGCATATTTCACAAACAATTTTTGATTCAATTACTTTCAGGGATGTGGAAAAAGCAAAATTATTTTAACAAAGGCAAGCATTTGTAAAAATGATAGTCTATTCCTCAGAAGTACTTGGGAAGATAAAGTCACATGTTTATTGAACAAATAGTTCTCAGTATCCAGGTTCAGGTTTGGCCTGTTGTAGTCACTCAGTGTATTACAATCACAAAAAATGAAAATACAGCAGGCATTAGTTAACTTTTGTTATTTTAAGGGTGGGGAGTGCCTGCGGGGATGAAGTGGTCAGGGTAGTTTGAGGATGGCTGTGCTGGAGAGGGGCTGGGGTGCTGTGTCCCTGTTACATGAAGAGCTGCAGCAGCCCAAAACATGAAAGGCTCAATTTTAAGGTGATGATGCCTACACCGGGTTTGAGAAGGAAAAGCAAATCTCACCCGAATTCATGGGGTGCAGCCACAGGGGAGCTCATCGCACCCTCCTGGGACAGCTGTACCTGCCAAGCCCACCCCAAAGCCGTGGTGAGGCTGGGGGCTGTGAAGACATGAACCCCTCCACCGGGGGTAGAGGCAGCCATGCTGCAGCCCCCCCTGGGCACCCCAGTTTGTACCGACTGCAGCTAATGAGCTGCAGGAGGAAGGCGGCAGCTGTGGCCTTGCAGATGGTCCTTCTCTCCCTCGAAGGGATGTCTGCACCCGTGGCTGTGTGTGTGTGCATGCAAAGCTTTGGAAATTTCCATTTTAATAAAAGCAACCTTGGAGGAGCATGAGCAATAACCTGTCTGCTCTTTGGCACTGACAGGTTGGTTGTCCTGTAAAATGAGATTTTGCTACCCCAGTGCAGCGATCTTGTTATCAACTCCAGCTTACATCAGCATGCTTTATTAGAAGACAGCAGAAATAATTCTTTAGACATTAAGCAACGTCTAGCTTCTGCTTTTATCAGGCTGGCTGAGTCTGATTAAATCAGATCCAGAGGTAAGCCCAATAAACTCCTGGATCTCTGGGCTCAGATATTTGGTCCATCTGCAGATGCTCTGAAGTCTGGTGACAGAATAGAAATTAGGTCTTTCCTGCCCAGCCTTTCCCACTCCTGTTGCCTCTTGAAAATCCAGTTTCCTACATCTGACCCACGTACTTTGGACTCTTGGGTTTTATTAAGCCTGGGGGGACATCACACGCAGATCCATCCCCTGCCTGTGCCCAAGCTCAGCTTTGCTCAGCTGTGACTCCAGGCTTCAGTTCCTGCTCCAAAGGGATGGATAGTTGCCCAAGTGAGGATCACCGCAGCCATGTGCATGACCGATGGGCTATTCCAGCACTCCAGTCTTTTCCAAGATAAAATCAGCATTACACAGCTTTATGCCTGCAATCGACTGTCTTCATGTGCAACCAGCAGCCCGTCCCAGTGCTCTGCCTGTATCTTTCCTGTTAACTTAGACAGCACTTTTCATCTCTGAAGCCATCAACTGATTAACCAGTTATCACAGCTCTTCTAAATCTTCAGTGGATATTTTTGTGCTGCTATTCCCACTTCTGCCATGGGACCGAGGAGGCTGTTGGAGCTTGAGGATCAGCACAATCTATGGGAAATCCTGTGGTGCTGGTGGGCACAGCCCCAGGAGCTTGTGGCAGGGCATATTTCCCCGCACATTTCCTCCTTCAGCGGGGGCTGGCTCCCAGCATTCCTCCCAGCATCACTGAGGGAACAAATTATGAGAATTCATTTGGACCAGGACTGTAACATTTAACTCCTTCCTCCTCTTTCCCAGAGCATAAATATTCAGCCAGACCCCATGCAGATGTACTCCAGAGAAGTAAATAATCTGCAGATGTTGACTGTTCCCAGCTCTTGCCTCATCTATGGAGTCAGTGACAACTACTCAAGTCTTTGCCAGGTTTCTGGGTGGACTCCTCTTACTCACAACTTCATGATTTAATGTTGTACCACATCACTGTTGGCCAAGTATCTACAGTACAGAGCTGTGAGTTGTCCCCTGAGCTCTCATGTCAGAGAGACGTTTAATGCACAGTAGCTATTATTTCCCATATACCGATGCTCTCAAGGCTTGTGGGATCTCCTTTCAATAACTCAACCTCCTGCCGTCTAGGACAGTGCTGTATATAAGAGGATGCATGGCAAACAGCACATTAATGAACAAAACTGTAGGTCTGTCTGAGCGTGGTGTGACCAGCTTCTCTGCAGGATTTCATTTTGCAGAATAATTCCAGCCCCTGTCCTGGCTCCTGCCCTTCTCGACTGGCTCAGCAGAGCCCTGCCCTGGGCGCAGGTGCCTCTGTAGCACATCATATAGACACCATCAGGAAGGGAAATTGCTGGGGGCAAGGAAAATAAGGTCTAGGCAATGGTGTAACATCCCTCCTCCCAAATTACCCTGAACCAGGGAAGCACTGAGCCCACATTGAACTGAAACAGCTGGGATTTGGTTTAAAGCTCACAGAATGTGTCTTCAGGGGAAATTAAGGAAATTAGCAGCAGCATCTTTTATTTTCATAAAGCATTTAAAATCACCAGATGCATGTAATTTTTAGTTTTGGCTCTCTAAATTTAGGCTTTCATATTAAATGACAACTGGCACTTGGAAAACTAATTTTTAGTGGATTGCAGAGGGAGAAAAGCACTGGCCAGATGCACTGAGTTTATTTTCTTTTGAGCAACTTGCACAGCTCTGGTGATGCAAATTAATCCGGATTTCCAGAAGTGCAAAGAAAACAAGGAAAACGGCACTGACCTTGCTGTTCAGCTATGTTTGAACAGCAGTGCTTATCGCTGTTACAGAGCTGGGAGAGGGCTTTGCACGGCATTGCACGGCTGCTGCTGAAGCAGGATTTGCACCCACAGCCTATGTGGGAGCCATCGCTGGAGAATTAGCATTTGCTGGGACTCCTCAAGCCAAGGAAGCTGGCTTGGTTCGTGGCTGTCTGACAGAGTAGCTGGGGTTTCTTTCTCCGAAAATGTGTCTTGCAAATAAAATTGTGGTCACTGATTTGAAATGGCAAAACTGTTGTGGGGCTGCTTGTTCCTCCTGCGTGGCTTTGGCATCCATCTTTGCTGAGGGACCAGCAGAAGGGATCAAAACACCGTGGCCCCACAGTTCCCGGTTCACTCCTTGGCAAAGGGCTTTGTATCTCCTTCCTTCCAAGTGTTTTTGGCAACGGGGCCATGTATGGAGAGAAGAAAATGTAGTGGGTGTTGCCTTCCCACACAGTCATTGTTCTAGCTGAACAATTTTAACTGTTGATAAGAAATCTTTATTTCAGTAAACTTTCAGCTGAATGTCAAACTACAGCCATTTTTTCCTGCAACTGTGGCTTTGAAAGCATGATTATTAATATTATTGACTTTATTTTATATGACTTTTGCAACGTGAACAGTACATTCCTCTGTGAACATTTCTCCATCTATGTCTAGAAGGAAGAGGTCTTCATTTAACTTCAAAAAATTATTTTTCACTAAACATGAAGGAACAATGAATACTTTGATGCACACACAGGGCATGTATTTTATTAAGGCTCTGGATACCAAACCACAGTGTGATAGCAGACATGGGTCAGTGTTTTTTTCCGTGCTTGTGTCCCCTGGGATCAAACTGCTCCTAACAGGAGTGTGGAGGGTGCACACAACTTGGAAAATGCTTCCCATAGCTTAAACCCTGGAAAGTAAGGGATAAGCAAAATCTCATTTGTTGGCAAGAAAATAAAATAAAAAGCCAAGTAATCTATAACAGTAGGCTTCTATAGGCAAACTGCAAATGATACTGTACATTGCGTGTGCCACACACTGAGACAACTATTTCCGATTTGTTAAGAAGCTCATTTCGTATATACCAGTGTCAGGGCTTTATTTTTCATCCGGACTCTAACTAACGCCTTGACAGAGCTCTGCGTCTAAATGCTCCCAGGGTGCTGGTGTGTCTGGGGGGACGTGCAGGGGGTGCTGGATGGACATGGTGGGCAGGGTTCAAACTGTCCCCTCTGCCACTTCAGGCAGCTGCCGCTGCATGAGGTTATGACGTCGCCTGGTCCTTTCTCAAACAGCAAAACCTCCTCTGTGCTGCCACGTCGTGGCCCTGGGGGTGGGACGGCAGTGGCCACTGGGAAGGTGGCTGGCCAGGAGCGTGTCCCCAGCACCGCAGCAGCATTGTGCCGTGGGAGCCCACGGCCCCGAGAGGCACAGACCACTTGTACGTAAGTACGTCTCCCTGCGAGGCAAGCACGGGCTTAACGGATTGCATTAAACTCCTCCAAGGCGGACCCCTGTTTTGTTGGCGTTCACTGACAAGCCATAATCCGGTGCTAGTAAACCCAAACTCCTGCTGCAAGTAGTTTACAGCTGAGGGCACGCTCACTTTGTTTTCTGGCTTCACAGGGGAGGTTTAAAGGGTTTTATGGTGAATTTAAAGCAGGTTTAATTCTGCTAGCACTGGCACAAACCAGGGGTGGATCAAGTAACTGCAGAGTAAACACAGAGTCTGTATTTGAAACTCCTCGATCTTTTTAGGGAACTACGTATAAATTTGGATTATCACTGAAGGGGACATGCCCAAGTGAACAATATTAACTAAAAGTTTCTATCAGCCTGATTCAGAAAAAAAAATCCTTTTCTTCTTTCTCTTTACTAATTTTTAATGTTAACTGGCTGCAATTCAAACAGCTAAATACATAATGAAATAAATGGGGCGAATTCAAACAGCCAAAAGCATAATGAAATAAATGAGACAAATTCCTTGAACTGCACCTAACATGAAAATGAATCTCAGCTGCTCATTAGAGACTGCTGAGCAGGGGACGTGGGCAAATTAAATCACGGGAAGTAGAGGGAGGCATAGAAAAAAGGTCGATTATCTAAATCTCCTTATTAACCACAAAATAATTTTTCAAGATTGAAGGTAGTAAAATATGTTAGTGGCAAATGGCAAAACCTCTTTATGCACTTAAAGTAAAAAGCAAGAAGCTGAGCAGAGCAGAGGAATGAGTAAACAAGGAATATACCACTTTTATTTTCAGGGAGGGTTAGCAGTTTATAATTCTCACCTGATGTACATCCAGGATTTTTTTTCCCTTACTCTCTCTGGCAAAATTTGTACTTGGTTTCCCCAGGTTAATTCAGGTTTTGCTGGAGATTTGAGTGCTGGTCATCTGGGAAAAGGAGGGGTTGTCAGCCCGAGGGTGACGCGTGGTTGCTGAGCTGGGTGAGTGGCGTGAGCAGTGTGTTGTCTCTGTGCACGTGAGCAGCAGATACCACCCCGTGAGCCTGAGCCATCGTCCTCCACCTAATAGTCAATTCAGCTGCAATTTGTTGGTCTGTCTCTCTGCCAGATTGCCTCTCTTATCTGACACCAACAGGCTCACTGAAGCAGGCGGGAGGGGGATAAGCTTTGTGGCCAGGGGGGACTGTCCCCTTCCCATGACACTCCAACTAGCCCTCATGGACATCTGGGACCCAGCAAAGTTTTTAAAGTTCTCCCATCTACTAGTTAGCAGGCCTTTTTCATCATTGCTCTTTAACATTGCTTTGGGTTTTGCGGGTTTTACCCTTGAAAACATCCTTGCTGCCTGAGAGGGTGGGGAACGGGGAGTGTGCCAAAAGCCAGCTCTGTCTTGGTGGTGGTATGGATGGAAAATCACACCTTGGGTCCTGAACAAAGGTCACCGCTGGTCTTTGGGACTGCCCTAAGGACAGTGATTAGCAGGCATTGCTAATTGATCTAATGACTCTGGTAGCACCATGTGCTGGAGGAGGCACATTGCTGCCAACCTTCACCATGCATCTTCTTGCAGGAGCCTTTGGGACACGTAGAGATGTGGCTCATGGGATGCAAAACGAAAACATGTCACAACTTGGATGTTATCTTTGGCACGAGCCAGAAATTACAGTGGTCCAAACCAAGAAGCTTATGTTATCATTGTAAAGGGGGCAGGAGGAGGAACTGGGGAGCTGCAGCTGCTCAGCATGATGGCTGTCCCTAGAAATTGTCCTTCAAGAAGGAGTGAGGACCAGAAAGAGAATAAGGGGATGGCCAGGCAGCATGGAGATGCCAGAGAGGCTTTGTGCCAAGCCCATCTTTCTGCCAGCGGTGTAGCTGTCCCACTGTGCATGGGAGAAGGAGGTGCTCCTATGCAGAGGCTTTAGGGTTGACACTGTCATGTATGACATTCTCATATGCAAATGAGGAAGACATGGCCTTGATGAGACAGCTCTTGGATGGGTGGAAAACTGGTTGCACTGTTAGTCAGAAAAGTTATCAGCAGTTCACTGCCAGAAAGGGAGGTGGACTTCATACCAGTCAACCTGAGCCCACTACTCTTTGTGGTTTTGTTCATGATTTGGAGGAGGGACATGACTGTTGTTATTTGATGTGCAGCTGGGAGGGACTTGAACACAACAGAGGACAGAACTATAATTCAAATGGACAAGAGAAGTAGTCTGGAAAAACCCCATGGTTTATATTCCAGTGGTCATGCTGGTGGTGAACGAAAAGGGGCGCAGGGTCTTGGTGGGGTGAGGGAAGCTGTCCCAGATGCACTGGGAGTCAGGGAATGTCAGTGGGTGGGAGGTTTTTGCCCTTGGCTGCTGCATTTCAACATCAACAGGGCTTGCCTGGAGGCAGTCCAAAGGGAAAAATAAAAATAACCAGTTGGGATGTGACTTCTGCAGGAAAGCCGGAGATGGTAAGAGACAGTGTGTAGCTGTGGTGTGGTCCTTAAGCACGGGACCCGCGAGGAGGAAGAGGGTTCCTCTTTCTCCTTGACAGTTAGAACAAGACGTGATGGACTTAAACTGTGGCTTAAGAGGGGATGAACATGTCTTTGTGCACTTTTCAAGGTACAGCCTGATGTTTCCCGGTAGCACGCTCTGCCTCCCCTGTTCCTGACTCTGTCTAAGCCGGGTTTAGCACAACAGCCATTTCAGTAACTCACGTGGCTTTTGTGAATTAACTACTTAGCCCATGGGAATCATACCATTATCTTCAGAGGAACTAGAAAAATAAAGAGTGCATTTATAAGGTTTTTAGTGTTTTCACCCCACCACCAACATTCCCTTTAAGAACATCAAAAGATTAAAAAAACAGAGACATCTGCCAGAATCTCTGGAGATGTGTGTTGCACTTTCTTCTAATCCAGACCAAGTCTTTGGAGCCTCTCCATGCCTTCAAGAAATAGGGGAATTTTTATTTTATTTAAGAACTGTCTAAAGACCCTTTTACTGGGTTTTAAGAGCTCTGTGTCAGCACAGTTAAAAAATGCTGGCATTTCCTCTGTGCAGATTAAAGATGATATATTACCCTTTGCTGCACAGATCTGATTTACAGCTTCTATCGCAAAATTGCATAATACTTTTTAAAGTGCTCTAAGGTGCAGTAGCAGAGCTGAGGATGCGGATCAAAGTCCAGGTGCATGCTGGTTTTTCTTTTCTGGCATTTGTTATTCCTTCACTAGATCTGAAAGAAGAGCTGTGGGGAACAGCCTGCCCCTCCTGCACTCTTCCAACCCCCAGCATGGCATCGCCCATGAGGAGCTTGCTCACTGACCCCGCCAGGTACCTCCAGTCTTTCCGCCTCTTCCTCGAGAAGTCGACTGAGCACCAGAGCATGAGGGAGTTCATAGAGAAGGAGCTGCTGACATTGATAGCGAGGTAACATGGAGCTGGCCACATCCAGCTGAAGGACAGCCCGGGGTATGGTCCCGCGGCAGTGACGGGCTCGGCCGGGCTCGAGGGGCTGCCTGCAAGAGGCAGATTGCTGCTCCCCGCCGGCTGCCCCATCTGTTGGTCTCTGATAGGGCTTGGCTGGACATTTCATTTACACACATCTCTGAATGGCTGCACTTCGGGAAAAACCCTGCCTAGCAGGGAGGAGATAAGGCTGAATTGTTTCCTTGCATGTAAATACAGCTTACCCTGAATAAACTCTAACACATGAAAAATGCAGCAATGGATATTACGTTCTAACATTAAATTTGATTGAAATAATCTTTTTAAAAGCAACCTTTCTAGTTAATATTTAGGGTCTCTCTAGTATGTGTAAATAACGCTCCTGCTTTGCCTGCTGGAGTGTGTTTTTTGCTGGACCCCTCACTTTCCAGGCTGGCTTGGGCAGCAGGCAGCTGGGATCAAATCCTGGTTCTGGGGAGGCCCTTCTCTGGGTCCAAAGTTTTATGGCTCTGCCAAAGCCTTGCTAAGGGATTTTAAAGGTGATACACTCTCTCCTCTTCCTCATTTTGCAAAACGTAAAACTTCTACAAATAATTTTTAAGCTCCTGGTCCTCAAAGCACAGACATGGAGAAGGCATGTATCTGCTGCTGCCCATATGCACTTGTAATAAAAGCAGAACTCTACAAACTGCCAAAATAACTGTCAATCAGGAATCTCCAAAGACCAGAGTGCTGAATCTGATCCCTCCTGCCAGCTCACAGGTGTGCTGGTACATGCACATGTTACATTTGCTTTTGTCCTGCAGATTTTAGTCTTCATGAGATCTCTGATGCTTCACAAAATGCATGTAATCCTCTCTGCTGGGTAGTTCTCTACAATGTATAAATAATGTTTTTCAGTATTGGAAATGGGAAGTCTACAATCAATATTCTAAGTGTTGGTGGTGGAGCAGGTATGTTATGAACTTCAATGTTGATTTTTTTTTTTTTTCCCCAAAGAATAGAGGATTAAAATTGCAGAAAGGAACAGAGTGGGAAATAAGTCTTTTCTTGTAAAGCCAGCTCCAGAAGCAGATGGCATTAGCTGGTGTATGGCCACATCGTGTGAAAACAGCCTGTGCCTCCCCACCCTGATTCTTGTATGTCCTCCATGATAAACCTCCTTCTGCACCATCACTCCTTGAGGGCAGAGAGAGGCTTGTACTGCCATGTCGTGTTTCTATGCAGAAAAAGCACCATAATGTCCTAGATTACTCAGAATATTACTTGTACTGCAATTATTCTACCCTGCAACTCTTTACTGAAGTGGTAACTCTCCATCATTGTTGTCTCCTGCCCTGCTACATGACAGCCTTTCCTGTCCTCTATTTTTCCTGTAACTACTTGGTGATCACAGTCAATGCACAAGCCCCTCCTGGAGCTACTGTCCCCCAAAACACTGGAGCTGAACTTAAGCTCCAGAAGAAATTCAGAAAAAAAAAATCCAAAGAAATAAGTCTCTTATCTGAAGTTCACTGAGTGGAAAAACAATACCAATAAAAATCAAGTGGCTTTTTTCTCGTTAAATTCTTGCTTAAGTTCCCCCATAAATAAAGTCTATGTTTTCTAATCCTGCTCTGCCCATTAAGTCATCAAATTTAAATTTTATATGAACAGTTAATTTAGTTTAAATGGTTTAGTCATAACAACTCCAACGACTAATCTCAGCTTTGTCAATCTCTCCTAATAAGTAAAAATAATTGTATGTAAATGGTGGGTGTTAGTTGTCAAACAGACAGTGTGACAGAGTAGGAACGTTGCTCTCCAAACAAAGGAAACCATTCTTCTGCCAAAAAAAAAAAAAAAAAAAAAGGGTTGTTTTTAACAGGAACACTTTACTTAGTGAGATATTTACCTCCCTAACCAGGGAGACCCCAGTTAGCATGATAGACATTCAATCATTAATGTGCAGTTAAAGCTTATCTTGTGATGTAAAATACCCCAAATCACCAAAACCCTGATGCTTGCTGGCTTGTCCCCATCACAGGTCCTTGGGACATCAGGAGGGAGCAAAATTCCAAATCCCCCCAGCTAACCCTGGCTGATGTAGGAGGGCAGTGATGGAGCTGCTGCCCTGGCCCCGTCCACCCCTGCTCTTCGCACAGAAGGAAAGCTTTTCCACTTTCCTAACTCGAGAGACAACGAAAGCGTTTTCTTTCCACTTTTCCACCTCGAGAAACAAGCAAACCATTTAATGTAGCATCATATCCCATTACACCCACCCATCTACAGTGCCTGTCTTCGCCTACAGCCTCTGCCTTATTAAGTTCACACTCCAGCGCGCAACACTCTGTACCTTTAAAAACCATAAAAGTCATCAACGCGGCTATAAAGTAGCAACTGTGCTATAAACTATCCCGTTACGTAAAATGTTTAATTAGAAACTTAATGGTGAACATAGTGGTAGCCTTTAAAAGGTAATTGTGTTGGAGAGTTTAAATAATTCGGATAGCCTAATTGCCAAATTGTTGATAATGCAAGCTGCCACAGATCTGACTGTAAAATGCCTCAGGACACTTGTTTGCATATAAAAGAGCTAAATGAAGTCAATTAAGGCTGTGGATTAAATTATGAATCAAAGGGGTGGGTTTTTTGGTTAAAACAATACAAGGGTGGTTTGGCCACAGAAGAGTGGAAGGGAATACATTAACCTATTCGCATATGGAAATGCAAAATTCAAATTTTTTTTTTTTTTTTTTTTTTTTTTGACCTGCACAGCCTTTCAAAGGCCTAATCCATTTTACAGAAAGTTGATAAAGCAACCAAAAAAAAAATCAAAATATGGCGTTAGTTCATTACAGATTCTGTGTTCCTAAATTTTACCATTGGCAGCCTGCAAATGACTGGCTTTGCTCTGATTTTTTTCAACAGAATACAGGGTTTGCAGTGATAGCAAAGCTGCAGCTATTTCTGCTGCTTCACAGATTTAATTTCCCTCCCTCAAAAAACGTGCATGTACAGATACCATGTAAATTTTGGTGTTATTAGCTGCTTTAAGAAAGACATGTAAGTCTGAAAAAATGGACCTGTTTCTCAGTTTTTACATTAAATTGTCAGGGCATTAATGAGCAGGTGAGACCTGCACTGGGGTGCCTGACTTTGACCCATGGTGATGTGTGGTGGGGCCAGCAGCAGGCAGAGAGCTCTTTGTAGTGAAAAGCCCCCCCCCCAGGAGAGGACCCTGTGTGCTGGGTTTTACTCTGGTGAACTATGGCTATATATGGCTCTTTAATCCCCAATATTTTCCTTTTGTACCTCAGTCCTTCCATATAACGGAGCTAATGCTGAAGTGGTTGGAGTCCGGGGGCACTGAATATCATGAGGATGGGCAGAGGCCATGCAAATACCATGGGGGCCGTCCCTCCACAGTCACTCAGCAAGGGTCTGTCTGGCCATCAGGGTTTGTTGCGTGATCTTCCATTCAGCACAGAATTTTGTTTATTTGTAGGGAATTTTACAACGTGGAGTTGTGTGCAAGCACTAGTACATTTTTCAGGACAAAACTCTATTTGTCTGTAATGCAACCCCTGGATTCTCCACAGTTATCCTCTGCTTCACTCTTTCTGCCTTAATTTATTTTTCTATTATTTTTTACACCTAAAATTTATTCAAGCACAATAAGCAGAAGTGAGCCCTCAGAAAGCTACACAAGCCAGCGTGATATTGCGGCTGGAACCATGTCTCAGTCAGGAGCATCATAGAAAGGTTTGGGTTGGAAGGGACCTTGAAGATCATCTAGTTCCAACAACACCCTAGTTCCAGCAGCTCTAGTTCCATCATCTCCCCGAGCTTCCTATATTGAGGATGGGGAGAGGTGGCAAAGAGCTATTGCAGCTCTTTTTAAATTTTGAAATGTTGGATCTACTGGTACTTCCATCAGTAAAATAATCTCAGCTGACATGAGCAGTTTCCAGAGAGAACTATTTCCCACCAAAAAAAAAAAAAGCAGAGTCAGCTTTGGGGTATTCTGTAAATAAGGGTTAGATAAATACAAATGGTATGTGTGCTGTTAATCATACTTAAGGAAAATGTCACAGGACAGTAAAGACAAACAGACATGAATGTTTTTTCTGATTCCAGTGTAAACACATATTCTCTTCTCCCTCACCCACATGACCTGGTAACCAATGAGGCACTTGGCTAAAAATGCTTTTACTGACTCCTAAGAAATCCTGCCAAGTTCGCTGGTGACTTGGGACCATCAGAACTGATAGAAACATTTAGGATCTTCCCCAGGAGGTTATGCCATTTCCAGAAAATATGAGATCAAGCCACATGCATGTTTGTGTCTGGTGTTCCCTTGGCACCGATGGTAATCAAAGAGGAGGAATGGAGATAGTTGTGACTGATACTTAAATTTTTCTCAAATCCTAGAGCTAAGCCTTCAGTGGAAATCTGCTGAGAATACAAAGCAGCTACATGTACCTCTGTGGTACATTTTCTGTACATGAATGGCGGGCATCAGTCTTCAAAACTGGGGATGTGGTGATGGTGGTGATAACATTTGCCTGAGCTTTGCTTTCATCCTGTATTTCATGTCGCCGGCTTTCTTAGGTGAGATTGACCTCCTGATCCTCTCAAAAGTACAAGCCAGGTATCCAGGGGTCACCATCAACAACGATGTGATAGAGCCAAGTGCTGACCAAATCTTCAAATACAAAGGTATTTTTACGTTAAATAAATTAGATTTACATTAAGTACTCTAAATGCATTAAAAAGGGTTGCAAGCTTTATGACTTCACATTCAAAGCTTTCTTACTAGAATTGGCTCTTAAAATTTAGAAAAAGTCACTATTTTATTCTTCTTTCCATCACTGCTTTTCAACAATGTTCAGTCTCTCATTAAAATCTTAGTCTTTCACATTGCAAAGAACTCTGCATGGCAAACGCTTGGGCTAGACAGACTTTAAAAGCTAATCAAGGTGGGAACTGATGGGTGATTTTATGGGAATAACGTAAAAACGCCACATTTCATAAAGTTTTCTCCTTCAACTTGCACTGAATCAGGATCCTTCCTCAACATCAAAGGGAAAATTTTAGTGTCTCATGGTAATTCTCGCATATCTTAAAAATTGTTTCCAAATAACAAATAGCTAAACCTTGATGTTGCACTAAATTAGTTACCATCCTTTGAATTAGAAAACATGGAAAGGAAAGCAAGGCAGATAGGAAAGGCTTCTGCTGTGTGCTCTGTCGCTTGGAGCTTGTTCCCTTCTACAAGCACAAGGTCTGAGCAACATTCATGAAGGAAAGCCAAGCATTTTCCAAGGAGGACTGAATGTTAGCAGGAATGCTTTGGGCAAGTTGCCCTTCAAAGTGAGCATTAAATATCAGTTCAGCTAGATTATCACTGGATTCACACCTATCAGGCTTTACCTTAGCAGGTAATTATGGTCTTGTATGGAGGTGACACCAGGTAGCCGTACAGGCCGTGAGCAGCCCTGTGCAGAGCACACCTTGACAGAAAGGGGCTGCTGAATGGATGTGGAAGTAATGAATGAACCTCATCAGCAGTCTGCGTTACTGGAAGTGCTCCAAACCATAGTAAATACCAGACTGTAAAGCCACACACTTAATCTCCAACTCTTACTCTTGCTTCAGTCCTTAAAACTGAAGCACTCCCAATATGAAGCAACTTGTGGAAGTCAAAAGGGGTAAAAAACGAGTAAGAATCCCTTACTACCTTCAGTGGAGGAGTTCAGAGTCACTGCAAGAGCCAAAGGCTCCCAGGAAACACATAATTTTTTTATATCTGTCTCTGTATTACATGGACCTGTTCTTCGAAAAGATGGCTTGTGCAAAATCCTAGGAGTTTTACATTGCTCCAAGCTGAAATGACAAAGGATGGGCAGCAGAGCACCTGCTCTGTTCGTAAGACCGTTTGGGCACTTGCACACAGCATTTCTGTTCTCTCTGGGCTGTAGACCATAGGCTATGTGGGACTGAATTTGTACTGAATCTTCCTAGTGGTGCCACCACCTACAGTCCTATCCTACTCCAGTGAGTTTCTTTCCCAAAGATAGTTAAACAAAATGTGAGACATTGTCCTTATTTTAAGTTTCATGCTAAACTAGAAATGAAATATTCATCTTAATTTCTTTCTTTAAACTTTCTTATTTGGTAATCAAGCATGGCCCCAGTAGGTATCATTAATTAGGTTTCTGAGCCCTAAGTTTTTCTGGGGAGAACTGGAAACATTATCTATGCCTCTGAGAATTCAGTAGTTATGTTTTCTGCCTACCCAGATACTTTCTCCTCGGGAAGGAGAAGCCAAGCTCACGAGAGAAACTTCATACTGGGACGTGCAGCAATGACAAACTGAGGTTTCTCAGTCTGTGTTGTATGACAGAGGCTCTCCTCTGAGTCCCATGGCCAGGCTGTGGTTTTGCTTCATTTCTGGTCCATGCCCAGGGTGAAGTCCCTTGGCAACCATGGTTGGAGTGTTGGTGGCCCCACAAGAGAGCTGCATTGCCACTGCACATCACGGCACAACTGCAGGCAGTCCAGTTTTGATGGCACACAACAAAGCGTGTGACCAGCTTCTGACCCAGACAATCAGGGTTGAACCCAGAAGAAAATTAAGGAAAACTTTTCAAAATGCTTAGGGTGACATGTTTTGGCTTCAGATGAATCTCCGGGCAGAAAATTCCCATAATCAGAATGTGTTTGCCTTTCCTGAAATATTGATTTTAACAGCCCACCCTGGCAAGCAATTCAGTTTTCTTCCTAGTGCCTCCAGACCGTCTAGCAATTGAAATGAACCAGATTGCACCAGATTATTTGTGGTGGTGATATGAACGGATGCTGAATGAAGCCTGAGTTTAAAACAGCCAATTAAATCTGAACTGCAAGCGCTGGGGACAGTGACCATTAAATGGAAGTGAACAGAATAACGGCAGCAGCATCCGAAAGGGGTGGCCCATTTCCAGCCATAAAAGAGAGGAGATAAGCATTTCTCATCTATCCGATGGGGATATGTCCTACTCAGAGCTCAAAAGGAGAAACATTGTGATTAGTGGTGTAAAGGCACCGGCATTAGCAAATCATGTTGTTTTGAACATGTGTTCTGTAGCTAATGCTCAGTCTGCCTTCAGGCCATTTAAGTTTTAAACTTATGTTAACTCCAGCGAAGCACAGGAATTGCATCAGGGCTAGCTTTGTCCTGGAGCAATCCTGAGTGCCAGGCAGGAGCGCCGTGAGATGAGATCCATATGCCAACAGATGGACCTTAGTATTCCGGCATCCCCTAAATTATGAAATTATCTCTCTGGTTTGCTCCCATTGAAAGCAAAGAAGTGCAGTGTTGAGCCAGGTCCTTAGTTTAACTTATTCCTTGAATCCATGTCTCCATCTTTTTGCTTTCCTCAGTTGCTGGATGTACATTGTATTGAGGTCTAAAACCAGGCCATATGTCACTCTTTATACTAGTTTTTGCTTTAAAACACTATTATACCTTTTACCTGAAGCAGTTGGCCAAAACCGTGGACTTTTGAAAAATTATTTGAACACAGCAGAAGACAAATATCAAGAGATGGGTCCTTGCTCACAGAGCAAAGCTCTTCCCTCTCCCACCATCCCCGTAACACATTCCCAGAGTGACCCAATTGCTTTCTCTGTCCTTCTCTAGGTTTTAATTGTGCTTCTCTCCAAAATAGAAACACCGTTAATCCATCCTTGAGTCCCTGTATTTATTTGTTTAGTCTCTGGAAATCCTCTGCTAAGCCACGTGGGTCTCGTGTGGCACCTAAGAGAAGGGGCCATCAGCTTTTCTCCCATTTGTCATGAAAAGTGCTGCTTGTGGCCTCATAACTGTTTGTCCCAGCCAACATCTTTTAATTCAGCTTGAGCCAGGCATGGAGAAGAGTTTCTTTCTTTTTGTTTTTAACCAGGTGAAGACTGGAGGAGCCCAAATAAGGGTGCAAAGCGAAAAGCATCAAACCCTCTTAAGACTTCACCTTACAAAGTCCTTTACAACCCTCTTTTCACATATGGGCTCAAGGTTTTAAATATTCCATTGCTGTGTTAAACTGGTACCAAACCTCTCTACCTAAATATGGCTTTTTGGATGTATTAAAGCTCTGAATGACAATCAGTCTCATATTTGCAATTGAGATTAACTCTGTCCTGCCTTCTCCTGTATTTCAGAGCGTGTGGCTAAGACATCAAACCTTGAGAACATAAAGTTTACCTGGCATGAGGAGACAGCTTATGAATATGAAAGTCGAATGAATGCAGAAAAGAAGTCTAAAAAATGGGACTTCATTCACATGATCCAGGTAAAACTCTCTGCAAAGTAAATGTTGTCAAAGGCTTGGCTGTTAAAAGTATGCCTGAAGTATGTGACCTCATTATCCACTCTAAGGGGAAGAAAGGTGAGTTTATTTCCCTGTAATTTGAAGTACTTAAGCATAAGCGAACTGCAAAAATGAAAGATGAGTTATGGCAAAGCAACTTTTAGCACAGTTGTCCTATTAACAAGGCTGTGGGTGGCAGTCAACTAAAAATACATTTTAACTAGTGTTTTCAAAGCTCCTTGTCCTCTCTGTGAAATTGCCTTTGTATTTCGAAGTTTACTGAAGCTGTTACAAGCCATCTTCACTGCTAAGGAAGGCAAATCTCTTTATCTCAGGTTAATGAATGAACATGAGCTTGGTCCTGGGAGAGCCAGAGAGCAGGCAAGGCAGTGACAGCCCCGAGCATGAAGTGTGAGTCCACTGCCCAGCCCTGTGCTAACATGCCTTGTATTCCTGCTGCTCTTCTGTCAAGATTGCCCCCATTTGTTTATTTTTATCTAGTAGTACCAGTTAGAATATTTTCCAGGATCGCACTGTATCCCTGTAAGCATCTCTGCTCTTTCCAGATGCTGTATTATGTGAAAGACATCCCAGCGACTATCCGGTATTTCCACAGCCTCCTGGAAGCACAGGCAAAGCTCCTCATTATCCTGGTGTCAGGTGAGAGCTGCTCCACCAGTACCGCTGCTGGGCAACAGCCATGCAGACCTTTGGGGTTCCTGCAAGTTCAGCACAGGCCAGCTAGAAACCAGTGCACATTTTTGTTTACAACATCCTTTATCACCCATAGAGGTGTACTGGCCGCATAATAGTGTCCACTCCTCTACATCCATTGAAATCTGCACACCGTCTATATCTGCGCAGTTCCATGCTGCAAGTTGTAAAGCCAAAGGCTTTGTGAGCCAGCAAAACTGTGCCTTTGGCACAAAACTCCTTTCTCTCGCTCTCTTCCCTTCCCCATCCTACAGCCTGGCCAGTGATGGATGGCAGCAGAGAGCCCCGCAGCAGACAAGAAGCTCCGTCCCGGGGCTTTCTCTCAAAAGCTCCTTCAGCCTCTCCTATTTTCTGTGAAAGGTTTTTCAGGCTGGGCACCGCAGTATCTCATTCATGGAGACTTGCAGCATTAAGCAAACAGCTATGGCAGGGGTTGGCTGTGCCATACAGCAGGTGTTAGAGGACATACGGTTCATTCTCTTCTCAAACTGCCCATTTCCTTAATATCATCATTTTGGGTGGAAAGCAGCATTCTTAGGCTGTTTCAGATCTCAAAGAGATGCTCTGTGGTCAAGCCAGCAGGAAAATGTGGGAGCAGAGTAAATGACAACCTTTTAATACTGTGGGCAAGGTTTGCCAGAGATGCTGCAATGGTGGGGTCTAATTTGACTCTAGAAAGCTTTCAATTTTCCTCACAGGCTATGGAAATTTTAGTTGTGTAAACAGTCACATCTGAGAGTTTTGTCAGGGATGTTGTGTTATTTGTTCAGAGGCTTAAGCTTAATTTTTTATTGAATTTACCCATGTCTGCAAAATTTAATGAGTTTGATGAAGTCCATTTTTTGTGTTCATGAAATGTCCACAATGAAGTGACCCTTCTCTGACCTGAATTTATTCAAACTATTTTTCTCCAAAATGTTTTTGGTTTAAAGTGTTCTCAAGCAGTTCAGTACAAGAAATCTATATTTTAAATGAACAGAGTTACTGTTCCTGATCTTTGGCTGAATGAGGATGGATCATAATATCAGACTATGGATGATTACCTGTGTATAGTTAATTGAAACTCTTTTCCAGTTGCTTAACCTGTCCCCTTGGATATTCATGAAATGTGAATACAGGGAGGAACACATGTCTATTCAAAATTATTAATGTGATTAAAAATCTGAATTAATGAAAAGTATTAGAAGTCCTCTCTGGGCTAGGTGACTCTGTGTTTTTTGATGAGGCAGAATGGAATAGAAATTGCTGGGGTCAGCATGAGAAAAGGGAGAGAGTGGGGCTCAAGATAGCAGAGAGGAAAGGAAGGGGAAAACCTTGGGGGAAGTAAGAGTATAGAGAGGGGAAGAAAGCAGTGCTATGAAAATGAGCACTGAAGCAAAAAGAGGTACTGAAAGATAAGCAGGACAAAGCTCATTTCAAAAAAAATGAAGGTAATGTCATCTCCAACACAAACACATTAGAATGTGTTAATTAAAAACCAGTCTGGGAATAGGATTGATAGGAGAGGGCTTGGTCAGTCGGTGAAGGTTGCAATCCCTCCTGCTCCGTCCCTGCCGGGAGATCAGGCGAGTTGCAAGAGCTATGTGGTGTTATTTTTAACACATTTAAAAAATCTGTTTACATCGCCTTGAAAACAAAAGTAGTGCCATATGCTGAGCCTATTGAGAGCTATTATAATAATGCTGCGTTCAGGTAGTGTATAATTGCTCGGCTCAGAGATGGCACTGAGTCACACAACACTGACACCAGCAAATTTTCTGCAATTAGTGCTCTGCATTCAATTTCCACCAGGTGAAAGAAAATATTGTAGCCCCCTCTTCTAAACACCAAACTGTTTATTTGACTATAAATAACTGTTTGCAGATAAAGCATTTGCAAAATCGCCGAGCAACTGGTTTTAGTAGTTATGGAGATTTACGGTCATAACTCTCAAGAGCTGCTCATTAGGCTCAAAGTTATTTTCATCCCGTCCAGTCATTCTGGGTGATCCTTTTATAAATGATTTATAGCACAAACGCTGAATCAGAGATCCAGACTAAGGGAAAATAAAAATGTGAAGACATATCTGGGGAGTTTTCAGCTTACCCAGCTGGTTGTCTTTGTAAAATGTCCCTTGAGAAGAGGGACAATCGTGGGCTGGGTATGGGCTCAGTTCTGGAGGTGACTGGGGTGCTACAGGAGCCTTTTCCTTCCTCACTCTATTTTTGCAGACCCAGATAGTACACAGCTAAAATGTCCTTCCAGCACCACTGGGGATCTCTGCTCGGGGTGAGGGGCAGGCCTCTGTCCATGGCCAACAGCATGTGAGTGTGATGTGGGAGCAAAGGCTGAAGCCCGGAAGGATGATGCAGCTTCAACCTGGGCTCTGTCCATCTCAACCTTTTCTCCACCACACATCCAGCTGCATGGACAACGTGATCAGGGTTTTGCACTCAATGTGTTTCACATAGCAGAGAGATAGTTTACTGACAATAAGTGTTTCAATGAAGCTTATGTGTTGCCCAACCACAAAATAATTAGGTGAAGGGATAGGAGAGGATCTGGTCTTCCAAACAGGCAGTTGAAATCTAGGGAATAGCTTAAATCAAGAAGATGGCTCTAAATGGCTAGTGTTCAGCATGTGGACAAGAGAAGGATGTCCCTGTCCTTATTCCTGAGCATTTTTCTGATGGTTTATCTCTCAGGATCCAGTGGCTGGGAAACACTGTGGAAGAAGTACGGGTCTTCCTTCCCTTTAAATGATCTGTGCACTTACATTTCCTCTGCTGACATCAGGAGAATGCTGGATTCAGCCGGGCTGAAGCACCAATTCTATGAGCTCCCATCCCACATGGACATAACAAGCTGCTTTACTGAAGGGAACAAGGATGGGGAGCTGTTGCTGGATTTCCTCACAGAAACTCATGAGTTTTCTAAAACTGCCCCTCCTGAGCTAAAGCGTCAGGTTATAGAAGAGTTAAAAAAGCCTGAATGCAGTGAAAAAAGAGATGGGAAGGTGTTTTTTAATAACAACCTGGGTGTAGTAGTGATTGAGCCATGAGTCAACCTCTTCTTGCTTCTTGATCCAAAGCAAATAGTCAGATACATGCTGTTAACAGCTGAAATCGGTTTTTCATATTTTATAAATGGCTTAGTTTACTTCAGTACTGATACATAATTTTTGGAGCCTGTTAAGAAATCATTTTTAATATCTGTTGTCATAAGTGAGCTTTAATACCCAATTAATTCTGCACTAATCTATGAAAGTGTAACTCACTAAGCAGTTAATTGTGCTTTATCGTATGGATGTCATATAATCAGATGTAACTTGCATCACCCACTCAGGCACGGCAGAAACCTGACCATTTCCAAAGAAATAATCAAGAAGTATACATGGTTTCATCACCTTCTTTTAAAAACTCTCTACAGAACAAGTAAGCAAATGACAACTTCTCAGTGCAGCTGGCAAGAGTGGAGGCTGAGGAGGACCAGCTCAATGGCTGCTCAATGGGATTTCTTGAGCTTGCTGTGACTGTAAGTTCTCATACCTCCAGTTACCATGAAAGTTGCCTCAGACCTGCATGTGCATTGGTTGCCTGCTCCTGTCTCTGCAGCCAACTCCATTTAACGGCACTGCTTCCCTCTCCCTGCATTTTCACTTTACTTTTATGATGTTGCATCTGCAGAGCTATTTGCGGACCAGGTCCATACTGTCACTGCAAGAGCAAAGCGACTGGAGATGGTCAAGGCACAGCAGTGGTAACAACTGTACTGCAGAGCTGGATTTCACTAACAAGCCCTGATTCAAAGCTTTTGTTAGCCATCGGCTGCTGCTGTCACATAGGGCTTTCTGGTATTATTAGCTGAACACACAAACATCCTGGTTGCAGCCTCTCACTAACCTGGCAGCAAGGACCATGCACGGAACATGTAAAAACAAACTCTGATGCCAAACTGACAGGTTTCAGTGGGATTTGTTTCATTTTCAATGTGGTCATGTCAGGTAAATCTGTTCTATATATAGTATAGGATGGTCACCAAGAAGGTGCTTCACCTCCTTGGCTCCTTCTCCGTGTGGGGCTGTATCTACTGTGGTAGCTGGTGCATTTGTCTTGCTAAATGATTTGACAGTTTTAAGAAGTGTTACGCTCTCTAGAAGGCACTATGCATGGCAGGATACAATACAGTCACTTGAATGACTGTAATAGTCTGAATACTCAGCTTATTCAGTGAGACAGGTCTGATTTCTGACATTGAAATAATTTCATTCAGTGTTGAAATGGCTTATTTTAGGTAATGATTTAGCTGCAAGAAATTATGTTTTATTTTTGCATATACATTTCTGATACAATATAGATTATTAAAGGTTTGAAGTGATTTACAAGAGAATGTATTAGGCTTTAATAGCTGTTTATATTCATTCTAGTGTGTATTATTTGAAACACATACTTCTCTGAGTGATCAAATATTAATTCCAGTGTATTTAAGAATGTTTTAATAATATTTCTCAGCTGTTGAACCGAACAAAATCTATTACCACTTTTACACTGTGCTACATACAGATTCCTGCATTACAAGACCTCAGTATATCCATAAGCTGCTACACTGACATGCCAAAGCAAGGGAGAAAATCTCCCTTTAGGACAGATTGCTGCATGTGCTTCTAATGAGAAACAAATTAAAGTTACAATTCTTTTTATAGCTCTTTTGTGCTGTCAGTGACCTCTTCTAAATTGTTCATCCGAAGGGGGTGACCGCTGAATATTGCCACATCACCCTGTCAGGACTGACATATCTTTGGGAGCTACAGAAACGCCAGAACAAAAAAACCCATCCCAAATCCAACAACAAAACCCAGCAACAAGATGCACTGCAGGTCCTGTTGTTCTCTGGTTTAGCAGAGGCAAAAAATGCAAGAAAAAAGCTTTTTAGAGTTTTGGGAGGAACTTTGTTCAGACAATTTGGGAGAGAGCAGGAAAGATGAGGAACAGCAGAGATGATCTGGAGAGAAGAGAGGAGGATATCATCACACACAAACATAAAAAGGAGATTCAGTGTGAATGTATGTGAGAGCTCCTTCCCCTCTTTAATCAGAAAGGGAGAGGCTGGAGAGAGGGTGCATGGCATTGCACGGGGTCTGCTTTAAATACAGAATTCACTGGAGGAAAAGGCACTTTCACCCCAGTCTGGAGAAGAAAACTCCTTATCTAAAACCACATATGCCAGAGCAGTCCTCTGCCACTGGTTTTGCTTCTGAGGAGAATTTCATTTAAAAAAGGGGGAAAAAAATTACAGTAAACTCCATTCTATATATGCAGTTGCTTCTGTTAAAGGGCTGGGGGAAAAGTGAATTAGAACAGCGCCCTTAAGGGATAAATTATTTTAAATTTTAAATTCAGAACACACATATTTCCAAGAAGAAAGTACTGTAAGTATTATTTAGTAGGAAATGAGTGTGGGGAAGCACATTTTTATGCTCATTTGACCATAAAAACTGAAGGAGTTTTTGTAAATCTCTCAAACAACTTCCTAATAGACTGCAGAACCACATTTCCATGCAAGAATCACCCTTAATTGTACAGCGAGATACTGCTATTCGAGAGCACGTTTGGGGAGTCCAGACTGTTCCTTGACTGGGATTTCTACAGCAATTTTGAGCTTACCTCTGTGATTTCGGCACCGAACTGTTTTCCTCTCAGAAAGTCTTCTTATCCCAGACAGCAGAAATTTCTTCTAAAAGCACATCTCCAGACCAGCCTTGGCATGTGCAAACCCCCAGGTGGATGTGTGGGCCAACAGGATGGGTCTTCCTCACTTACACCCCTAGAGAGTGAATTTATAGGCTTTATACAGAGGTTCACCGGGAGCAATGGTCTTAAACCAGCATAACACTTACTGAAACAACTGTTTCTGTAACTGAAACAAGGCTACCTGTAAATAAAATATATCAGAAATGATCTTGCAAGTTCTTCACGTGTGGGTGTCCCTTTCTGGCTAAATGTTTCAGCTATGAAGTGTAAACATTTTGCAGAAAAGTGAGTCTGGGTAAACACAATCCTTAACATTGCATCTATACGTTCATCAGAGATGGTTCTGAACAGTGTTTGTGTTTAAATTGGGAGACATCCTTTTTTCTTTTCGTTTCATGGGCACATAAACCTGGAGTATACTGATTATATTACAGGTACAGGAGAAAAAAGCTGGAGGGAGGGAGGGAGGAGGAGGAACAACAACCTTCCTTTGAAATAGCAGACAAACACCCGGGCCTGCGTCCCTCTGATAAGTAAGTGTGAGCTTGTGTCTCTGATACTGCGTCAGGTGGTTATTTCCCAAAGTAATTCCCACAGGAGGTTTGCTGTGAAGGCAAGGGAATAGCCCGACGGCTGGGGATGAGGCATGACTTTGGAGTGATGCCACACGGGAAGGCTGGGGGAGAGCAAAAGTGGCGGAGGAAAATGCTGACCCCCTCCAAAGGAGCCCCATCTTCGCGTATATATCCCCTCTGCATGAAACACATCTGCCTGAGCAGCTTCAGGGCTGTTACTTTAAATCATATGAAGAAAATGATTCTCACTGCTCTGTTAATTACAACAGCAAATTGAACAAATGCACTTATAGCTCGGTTGCTGTCGCCATTTCTACATCGGTGTAATTCATGCTTGCAGCCCCATGATAGGATTCTTTAATGTCATTACACAGTAGGGCAAAGTCTTCATTTTTAATAAAAATACAAATGCTAAAATGAAATGAATTAATATCTAATTTTACATCTTCATTTATATGATGTGCAAAATTATCTTAAATATTTGTTATGGATGGAGTGGCTTTCCACCAATTTAGGCGCTTTTTTTTTTTTTTCCATAGTGGAGAATGTTAACATAAATTGTAGCATAAATCATTGCCTTGTAAAGTACCAGAAGGCGCATATAAAAACCCATATCTTTACTGCACATATTTCCCATTAACCATAATCTATTAGTAATTGAAGTTCATTACAAATTCTTGTAGACTTTATTGCTATCATGCTGCATGACATAGTGAACCTGGCTTGCATAACAAGAAGTCCTTGCTGGGAAATATCCTATTAACAATGACTGTGCATTTGTCATTGTGATAATAAATCCAGAGCTGTCTGTAGATTATAAATTATTGCGGCGCCATTTCCACTGCTGTAGCTTAAAAGTTTTGTCAGCACTTCCATTTTAAACCCCTGCTTTACAGGCAGTTATAACTTGACCATAAAAATCTGCAGTGAGCTGAATCTTGGCTTACAAGGTCTCAGTCCAAGAGTGCGTTCCTTCCCCCAGTAAAGATTCATATCTCATCCACATGAAAGTATTAGAAGCAGAAGCTGTGTTTATAGCAGATTTTTTCTCTTCTGCATTTGCATAGCTTCTAATTGGAAAAACCAGGCCATTTGACGAGTAATTTGTTCATAACCTTTCTAACGATTTTGGTAGAAATTAAAAATATATCAAGACAAAAAGATGGGAGTTGGGATGCTCTGAGTGTTTTCTGGTTTAGCACCTGAAAAAGCCTCAGTCCTTATCTCCAGGTGCCACGGACTTTGAGGAGTCATTGGTCAAATCCTTCTCCTCTTCAAAGGAGAAACTGAAGAGAAATGATGCTACCCATATGCCTTGCAAAGGTGTTTGGAGGATTAATTACTAACGCTGAAATTCTGGCATCCACTCAAGTCATCCTTCATCATGTCTATGCAATTCTTTGAGCTCTATATAGGTTTTAAGTGTTATTAAAAGAAAATTGCCATAGAGTTGAACTTTAAGCGTTAATTATGACTTGAGATATAAATGACATCAGGTCAAATCTTTCACAATTTAACTCCGTAATTGACTTCAGCTCACTACACCAGGGATATCTGTCTAGCTGAATGCATCTGTCTATCATATTTCTCAAGTGCCTATAGTAATGCATCCAATTAGCTGGACGTAACCATTATGCCTCAACTGCTCATAAATAGTGTAGGATGAAGCCTTCACCCCCTGAAATCACCAGGAAAACTTTCCCTCCCACCAACAATGCCGGGTTTTCACATCATCCTGCAATACATGCTCTGTCTTGAAGTACTGTTCGTATTTTCATGGGGTGGATAATGGATTTTGAAGTAAATATAAATGTCTTTTCACATTAATAGTGTGTCCTATCTCTTTTAAATTGCTTTAAAATCTTGATATGCCAAACCACTTCCCTTACCACTGAGGTGCAGCAATCTCCTGGGTGAAATTCAGCAACTGTTGGGTGGTTCATGGCACCGTTTCACAGTGATTTATGGCAGGATGAGGAGGAGGAGGTGGCTGTCGGCAATCAAGTGGCAACACCGAGGAGCTGAAAGTGATTACACAGGCTGGCACTGAGCTGGGACATAGGTGCCAACATGTCTGCTCTGGCCAAAATTGTCATCAGCTCACTGCTTCCCCTCTTCCTCAGAAGCAGAGTGTTGGGACATTGGGCTGGGATATGGGCTTGGCTCAGGATGAAGTCCAGTGCCCACCACCATCCTGGCACATCCAACAGCTCATACTGGGGGTGGGACCAAGGGTGTCTACCCACAGTGGGCTTGAAACTAGCTTTTGTTGGCAGTTCTACCTGCTTGCTGTGTCCTGGTGCTCCTTCACACTAGTGATGGGAGCTCTCCTACAGCTCACAAAGACAGAACTCACTAGCTCGTACCTCCCAACACATCACATTCAAATCTTCACAAATTCTTTGCACATTAAGAAGCACTTCACCGCCAGCCTCCGCTGCCCAGCAGAGTTCATATGGAAGGCAGGGCTGGATCTGATGGGTGTATGGGAAAGGCAGGTATCTTCCCTTTTTGTTTTCATGGGATGTTCCTCTTTCCACTGCCAGATGGATATGAGTGGTACCTAACAGAGGTGCATCAGTGTGTGGGTCCAAGGTGGTACTGGTAGGATTCAGGACGGTGCTTCTGTTCAAAGGTGGTGAACTGCTCTAAATAAGCGACAGAAAAAAATTATTACAGCATCTTGCAGATTTCTTACTCAGTTTTGTGTATTCTATCTGTATTATCAAGTCTCTAGCCAAAAAAACAATGAACACAGAAATAATGAAATCAATGACTCTTTGAAATCTCTAAACCTAAACCATGTCATGCTTTCCGACTATAAAATCCCTCAACCTAAATCATGTCATAGTTTCCCACGCAAATAGAATATAAGGACTTAATATCTTTCAGCCTCTTAATGCTATAAATGCATTTTGATATTTTTATAACTGTGATTTTACAGGGGTGGCAATCAGGCATCATTTATTTTGGTGAGGGTATTTGCCAGCAGATATAATTTCTTTACTTTCTTAAAGAAAATGACATTATTTGGAGGCTGTTTCAAGGATCTGGTATGTTACGATGGATCCTGGCGGAGATGAATTAGTGGCCAGAGTATAGGTGATCTTGCCAAAAATGAATAGCAATGCAATTTATCATACGCTTCTGTAATTTATCTCACGACCATGTATTAGATTAGATAAAGACAGAAAGACATGTGAATTGGATGGACCGGACTAATACTGAAAACTTACACCAGCTTTTATTGAGGCTGACAGGAAGATTTCTGTTGCTGCATTGCAATCAGAATTTGGCTTCACATTTTTAATTTGCTTTGAAGTATGATCTTGTCCAGCAACAAGAAAAAAGCTAACTCAACATTAAAGAGTTTGTTGATAGTGTCTGCTGTTTCTTATTCAATACAATTTGTTCCATCATATATTTCATATTCAATCAATTAAAAATTGTAAATACATTTAGAAGCTTAAAAATAACAGTAATAAGCATCTGTGAAACCGCTGCAAACGCTCATTACACGCCACACCGTTTTCAAGGTAACAAACCAATAGTTTATTTTGTCCCTTTCCAACAAAATCCATACTTCAAAATCCACTTTTCATACCAAATCGGTCTGTCTGTAAGACAAACAGTCTGCAGCTCGGAGTGTTTACCTACAACAGCGAAAAGATGTGCTATACTGCCTTCAAATTCAGTAATATCACCAGCTACCTTCTTTAGGCTCATTGCGAACCAGTGATTGATATCTGTTCTTTTGCATTGCTTTCCTCTCATATCTCTTTGTCCTGCTGCTATAATCGATCACAGATTTTTCCATCAGGCTTCATGTCAGATTAGGATAGTGAACATGACTTGCTTAGAACAAACTGCTTCAAAGTGCACCGAGGCAAGCTCAGGAGCTGAACCACTCTAAAAATGATTGTTTAGAGCATGTCAATGAATGCAACACAATAGCAGGAAGTCAGAATTACACTTTTATGGCAAGGATTTGGGATTGCTCCTCTCTACAAAGCCTGTCGCAATCAAATCTACTACTTGTGGGGCTGATATTTTAAATCAGGAGCTATGCCTGGCTCATCACTTCCCTGATTCAGAAAGAAATTTCTGCTTAGAAGTCAATGGCTGTATCTGGCAGGATTTGCACACATACTCTGTCTGGGATTCGAGTTGCAGTTACACTTAGCTTTTGTGTTTGGTGCTTTATGAGTGCTATCAAGAACTGAAAGGAATGAAAGCCCAACAACCTTCTCTGCTCTGCATAGAAATACATTTTAAAGATTCACAGAGACTAGTCTTCCTAAGAGAACTAAACTATCAATTCCTTGCTTTAAAAGCTCTTTGGGGGATTACTGCTTGTTTTTATAGTGCCTACCACAATTGAGTCTTCATCTTGGCTGGTGGTTTTTAGGTGCATCTGTTGCATAAATAGCAAATGGTT